CAATTATCTATCCGAAAGAAAGAACACTAGCCGCGCAGTCAGAGCCAAAGTGGTCTTGGATCTATCGCAAGTGAGATTCTCACCCACTTGGGCCACTTAAGTAGTTTGAATTACAAGTTCGGGTAATTTGGTTGTGAAGAATTACATATGGTTAAAATAATAACCGGGCGCAGTTTCGCAACTGATAGGAAATACGGTGGGACGGTAAGTGAAAAGGGACAAGAAGGGCAATGGACTTATGGAACAGAAAGAGACCTGAGAAAGTACATCTCACGGGTTGTTCCAACGGTTCACGGGAGTCAAGGTCCAGTGACTCGAAGATAGATAAATTAGTAGATTGTATTATGCTTAGGATCGAACGTGCAAAGGGATGTCCCCGTGAATGAATACGCTAGGCAGAGTAATTTGGGTCGAGTCTTGGAGTGCACTGGTACTCTCAACGGACTGCAGGCTCTCCGAGGAGGTTGTTTGTGCTACATAGTACTGTGTTTCATTTACAAACCTTTTTCATCAGTTATGCATACCTAGCTAAAAACACATTAATCAGTTGAAGTTGAATCAAAAAATCAAAAAGAATCATGAAAAAGTGGGCAAATATCGATTCATCATTTGGGTAGCCACATCTTATCTGATGGACCAATCTCGTTGTATGTTTCGACAAGCTTAAAGAAGGTCCGGCTGGCGTTTGTACCGCTGTGACATCCAGCTTGCTGTGAGGGCCGTTTGTATATATGTATGTTGCAGCATTCCATGTATCTTTTCAATACTCTCGCTATCTTTATCTATCTTAAAGCTCTATCTGCCCATGGACACTGCTTCCAGCAATCTACTTTCTCATTCAAATGGATAGCCAAACACAGCAACCAAAGCCACCGCACAAAAATGCATGATCATGTGTTATTTAAACTTAAACTCCCCTATTTGCTGTCAACACAAAATACCTAACTGATTTTCATTGATGGTCATACCTGAATTAGTTGTCAGTTGTTCTGGTCATAACTCGGAGTGATCTCGCTGGCGCAGACCTGTGTAAGAGGTTCATAGCTAAAATCTCTGACGGGCCCAGGTTATGAAATACTGATAACTGCTAACAAGTCTATGTGGTTAGTGTGTAAATATGATATCTGAGGAATTTCGAATGGAAAACAATAGTAATATTGCCCGTGACCGTGTTGTTATCTAGTTCGAATTTTACCAAGGTTGGGATGAGCGAGTGAAACTACGGTGAGTGGAGGAGCATGGGGGTGAGAGTGACTTGAGACTGGGGATTATGGATTCAAATTCTCACTGTTCGCGCTGCGGTTACTATGCGATGTGTAATCTCTCTAGATTGTTGTTCACAGACCTAGTAAAGCGGTCGAGATGCCCTGAGCAAGTCAACTAATTCATCTGACAGTACAAGGTTTAAACAAATTGCGCTCGTGAATGACTTTATGACTCCAGCGTGAAACCATGCCGAACGACGCTCAAGAAACTTGCTGAATAAAGTGCTTGCTCGTACGACCCATGCAGGTTGCTTCATAGGATCATAAGACAGAGCCAACTTTAAATGAGATTGCAGGAAGAGGAACTCTGTCTTTGAGTTGCAACCTGATGGCCGTTCTGGACACGGAGGTGCCACAGACTTTATGTTAATTCCTTTTCTGCGGAATTAGAATGGACTGCCCTCCGGTGTTAAACCTGCCGACAATTGACGCGCAAAGTCTCGGTTTCAACACCATGAAAACTAAAACTGTCTCTTGATACGGTACTATCAATACGAATCAATTAATGACGTGGTAAACAAGATACAAACCTTGTTTCATGAGGTATCTGGGTTGGGACAGTCGTCAAGGCACTTCAAGATATAAATGAGACACACAGCAATATAACAGCCCTCGGCTCTGTCGAAATACACCTTACAATCAAGATACTTCAAGAGGGGACAACTCACCGCTGTGTCAAACAGAATGTAATCACAGTAAACGGAGTTAAACAAAAAATGTCCTTGTGCTTCATGTGCTTCATGTGCTTCATGAAGCTCCCAAAGGATGATCCAATCATAAAACAGTCGGGAGCACACAGTTCGACCTATTCACAAACAACGACAGGCGTGCGTGCATGCATGCCTATATGTGTGTGTGCGAGAGAGCGTGTGTACATGAACAGGTGATGCCCAAGGAACCAATTGAACAGGTTACGTGCATGAGTGGTTAAATAATCGATAAATGATAAGCGATGAAACGGCACAGAACATAGGTCAACTAATCAGTAGTAAGGGACAATGGGGGTCACAGGAGAACTCGCGTAGCTGAAGTCATACGAGTGAGCGGTGTTCGTGTCCAGAAATGTGACAGAGACTGGGAAAACTAAGCACTCGCTTGGTTATGTTAGAAATCGATAACCAGAACGAAACGAATGTCAACGGTAAAAGTAAGGAGCGATAGAGTTGCCAGTGAGACGAAAGAACAATAAATGATTCAGGGAAAAAAGAATC